ACACACACACACACACACACACACACACACACACACACACACACACACACACGACTTGGAAAAACAGAAAACCAGTGCTGGCTGTCTTTTTCAACAGGGATCCCACTGTCTGCTGTAGAGAAGCCTGGGTCTCCAGCTACAGGACAAGTGGCATCTTTTGGCTTCTTCAAGTCAGTGGGGGTGTGGATGTTAAAGGGACTTGTGGGGTTCCAGCCTTCCCAGTTAGTGAGTACATTTGGGGGGATAAAGTTAGAGCATGGGGTTGCTGGGCATGGCAGTGTATTCTTGTAATTCCAGCACTCAGGAGGTGGAAGCAGGAAGATCACAAGTTCAAGGTCATCTTCGGCTTCATCTCAAGTTTGAAACCAGTCTGGTCTTCACAAGACTGTGCCCCCCCCCAAAAAAAAAACCCACCTAAACAAAGGGCCAGTGATATGTCTCACTGTAGAGTTCTTACCTAACATGAACGAGGCTCTGGGTTCAAACCCCAATACAAAAATAAAAAAGGTTAGAAAGAAAGCTTAGCTGCTTACCAACTTGTTAGATCTCAACATCCAGATAAAAAGCTACATGTAGGGAGCTGGAGAGATGGCTCAGAGGTTAAGAGCACTGGCTGCTCTTCCAGAGGTCCTGAGTTCAATTCCCAGCACCCACATGGTGACTCACAACCATCACAACCATCTATAGTGAGATCTGATGCCCTCTTCTGGCATAAAGTCAATAGAGCATTCATATACATAAAATAAAAAAGCCTTACTTTAAAAAAAAAAAAAAAGCTACATGTAAGAGCAGGGCGCGGGGTGTCCCTGGGGGCTTCCTGGCCATCCAGCCTACAAAGCAACTCCCAATGTAATGAGGAACCCTGTCTCAAAAGAGAACACGATGGATGGCACCTGAGGGGTGACAGCAGAGGTTGTCTTCTGACATCCACAGACATGTGTACAGAGGGTGAGGGTGAGGCAGGGTGAGGCACCTACACACACACACACACACACACACACACCCCACGACACAGAGAAAATAAAGGACGTGGGTCAGACTCTCTGATTCTGAGGTCTGCCCCCAGACAGACAGCCTGAGAGGCACAGGTGGCCTGCTGACCAGGAACCCTGCTCCGACATCACCTTGCAAAGCCAGCCCACCTGGGACCACTTGCTGCCGGCGGTCAGGGACTCTCTGGGGTTCCACCTCACTCCTTTTCCCAACCCTGCAGACATATGTGAACTGACATGACCACGGGGTCTCCAAATTTAATACTGTGCTGCCTCCTGCCACCACAGAAACAGATTGACACGGTGAGTAGGAGACTGAGCCTCCACCAACCAACGTGTGCAGCTTCCACTGATCCAGACAGGGCTGCTCGCATTTTTAAGGCTCTAAGTCAAGTTACTTACAAAAAAAAAAAAAAAAAAAAAAAAAAAAAAAAGTAAAGCATCGTCAAATCTTGGGGGGACGAGGAGGGGTCCTGTCTGTGTTCACACATGGAGGCCAGAGACTGACGGCAGGGGTTTTCCTCACTCACTTTCTTTCACCTCATTCTTTGAGACAGGGTCCCACACTGAACCTGAAGTTCCCAGGGAGCTTCAGTGAGACTGGAGAGCCAATGAGCTCCAGGAATCCATCCCCTCGTGTCCACTCCCCAGAGTTGGGGTTGCAGACACACACTGTCACAGCCAGCTTCCAACATGGGTGCTGGAGCTCCAAACGCAGGTCCTCATACTGAGCATCCGAAACTCCATTGGCTGCTCCTTCTGAAGGGGCAGATCTGCATTCTCAAGCTCCAGCGACAAGGTAGAGGGACTAGACGGCTATAAAATGCAAGGCCAATACCGCTTCAGTATCTGCTGAGCCTGTCTATTCTCAAAGTGTCAAATACAATGACGCACTAATAAGAGAATCTAACGTGTTGAGAGGAAGGGGAGATGAGGGACCGAAATACAGAATCATCAGCCCATGAGTCACAGGTCACATGGAAACAGGAGCACAGAGTCCCTACATCTGAAAGTTATTAAGATGCAAAAAAAGGAAAAGCTGGAATCAACAGAGCTGCCTGTGAACAGCGTTATTTGGCATGGCCACCAATGAATGATTCTGTGGTGGTTTTTAAAAACAGAAAACCAACCAACCAACACATTTTACATGGACCCAAAAATGCTATGTGGGACAGTATTGTCAACAAGGACTACTTAGTCAAAATCAGCCGATCATCAAACAGACCTTACCCTGTAAAAAGACCATTTCTCCACATGCTAGCCAGACTCTGGCGATTTGCAGAAGGAAGCAGAAGAAACCTGAACTGTGTTCACTCTCAGGAGGGACTAGTGAGCAACAGACTTTCTCTGAGGGGTGTACTCGTTGGCTGTTTCTTGGGAAAATGGGAAGGTATTAATTTTTAAAATCCTGCCATCCAGGTTCAGTAGCACAGGCCTTTAGTTCCAGCTACTTGGCAGGCTGAGGCAAGAGGACCATTTCAATTCAGGAGCGAGCTCAAGGCCAGCTTCAGCAAAGCTCATCTCTGGGGGTGTGGCCTATCATTAGAACACTCCCCGTCTTTTGCCCAACAGCTGCAGCTCATGCAAGGTACCCACTGGCCAGTGGGGACAGGGAGAGGAGAAGAGAAGGCAGTCATGGCAGCTACAGCCATTCACAGAATACACCCAGCCCAGCCAGACAGCCCTGCGAAGGCAAGACAGGGGAACCCTAAGTCTCAGGTTGACGAGGCTGGCAGTGTGCACGT